AACGTCACTTATCCAGCCTCACGGGTTCAACGCGTGGTTAAACTCTTCAGAGAATTCATTTGCGAACATTTAAATCCAGTCCCCTTGCCAATATTTCCAGCCCTCTTGCGAACAACAATTCCACTGCGAACATTAACGGTTTCTTGGCGAGCTTTCCCTGCTCACCAGTGAACATTTCCAGCTGCCTGAACACCTAGTCAATGCTAATGTACATTTACACTGTACGCTTCTTCCGTGTTATGAGAGGAACAAACTTCTACAATTAGGGTGAGGGAGGGATTAAGGGATGATGTTGGGTGAGGGATGGATGAGAGGATCGAGTGAGTGAGAAAAAGGGGTTGGGCGAGGTGAAGAGACGGGGTGCTGAGTAAGAACACTGGGGGAATGACAGGCAGCTGAAGGAAAAGGGATAAGGAGAGGGAGTAGATTAAACCCCATGGAAAAGGAAAGGGGTGAAAAAAATGGTCTGCGAGTGGGAGTGGTTTGGGATGGGTGGGGAGGGATGATACCAGGTGCAGGTAGCACAATGGTTGCTCCGAGGGAGAGAGTTATCACGGGCAAGCTCTCTCTACTACTTCACTGCCCATACACTCCATTGTCTACCTCACTGCCCATACACTCCCCTGTCTACCTCACTGTCCACACCCTCCCCTGTCTACCTCACTGCCCACACCCTCCCCTGTCTACCTCACTGCCCACACCCTCCCCTCTCTACCTCACTGCCCACACCCTCCCCTCTCTACCTCACTGCCCACACCCTCCCCTCTCTACCTCACTGCCCACACCCTCCCCTCTCTACCTCACTGCCCACACCCTCCCCTCTCTACCTCACTGCCCACAACCCTCCCCTCTCTACCTCACTGCCCACACCCTCCCCTCTCTACCTCACTGCCCACACCCTCCCCTCTCTACCTCACTGCCCACCCCTCCCCTCTCTACCTCACTGCCCACACCCTCCCCTCTACCTCACTGCCCACACCCTCCCCTCTCTACCTCACTGTCCACACCCTCCCCTCTCTACCTCACTGCCCACACCCTCCCCTCTCTACCTCACTGCCCACACCCTCCCCTCTCTACCTCACTGCCCACACTCTCCCCTCTCTACCTCACTGCCCACATCCTCCCCTGTCTACCTCACTGTCCACATCCTCCCCTGTCTACCTCACTGCCCACACCCTCCCCTCTCTACCTCACTGCCCACTCTCCCCTCTACCTAACTGCCCACGCCCTCCCTCTCTACCTAACTGCCCACGCCCTCCCCTCTCTACCTCACTGCCCACGCCCTCCCCTCTCTACCTCACTGCCCACACCCTCCCCTCTCTACCTCACTGCCCACACCCTCCCCTCTCTACCTCACTGCCCACATCCTCCCCTGTCTACCTCACTGCCCACATCCTCCCCTGTCTACCTCACTGCCCACACCCTCCCCTCTCTACCTCACTGCCCACACCCTCCCCTCTCTACCTCACTGCCCACACCCTCCCCTCTCTACCTCACTGCCCACACCCTCCCCTCTCTACCTCACTGCCCACACCCTCCCTCTCTACCTCACTGCCCACACCCTCCCCTCTCTACCTCACTGCCCACACCCTCCCCTCTCTACCTCACTGCCCACATCCTCCCCTGTCTACCTCACTGTCCACATCCTCCCCTGTCTACCTCACTGCCCACACCCTCCCCTCTACCTCACTGCCCACTCTCCCCTCTACCTAACTGCCCACACCCTCCCCTCTCTACCTCACTGCCCACACCCTCCCCTCTCTACCTCACTGCCCACACCCTCCCTCTCTACCTCACTGCCCACACCCTCCCCTCTCTACCTCACTGCCCACAACCCTCCCCTCTCTACCTCACTGCCCACACCCTCCCCTCTCTACCTCACTGCCCACACCCTCCCCTCTCTACCTCACTGCCCACGCCCTCCCCTCTCTACCTCACTGCCCACGCCCTCCCCTCTCTACCGCACTGCCCACGCCCTCCCCTCTCTACCTCACTGCCCACGCCCTCCCCTCTCTACCTCACTGCCCACGCCCTCCCCTCTACCTCACTGCCCACGCCCTCCCCTCTCTACCTCACTGCCCACGCCCTCCCCTCTCTACCTCACTGCCCACGCCCTCCCCTCTCTACCTCACTGCCCACGCCCTCCCCTCTCTACCTCACTGCCCACGCCCTCCCCTCTCTACCTCACTGCCCACGCCCTCCCCTCTCTACCTCACTGCCCACGCCCTCCCCTCTCTACCTCACTGCCCACGCCCTCCCCTCTCTACCTCACTGCCCACGCCCTCCCCTCTCTACCTCACTGCCCACGCCCTCCCCTCTCTACCTCACTGCCCACGCCCTCCCCTCTCTACCTCACTGCCCACGCCCTCCCCTCTCTACCTCACTGCCCACCCCCTCCCCTCTCTACCTCACTGCCACGCCCTCCCCTCTCTACCTCACTGCCCACGCCCTCCCCCTCTCTACCTCACTGCCCACGCCCTCCCCTCTCTACCTCACTGCCCACGCCCTCCCCTCTCTACCTCACTGCCCACGCCTCCCCTCTCTACCTCACTGCCCACGCCCTCCCCTCTCTACCTCACTGCCCACGCCCTCCCCTCTCTACCTCACTGCCCACGCCCTCCCCTCTACCGCACTGCCACGCCCTCCCCTCTCTACGCACTGCCCACGCCCTCCCCTCTCTACCTCACTGCCCACGCCCTCCCCTCTCTACCTCACTGCCCACGCCCTCCCCTCTACCTCACTGCCCACGCCCTCCCCTCTCTACCTCACTGCCCACGCCCTCCCCTCTCTACCTCACTGCCCACACCTCTCCCCTCTCTACCTCACTGCCCACACCCTCCCCTCTCTACCTCACTGCCCACACCCTCCCTCTCTACCTCACTGCCCCTCACCCTCCCCTCTCTACCTCACTGCCCACACCCTCCCCTCTCTACCTCACTGCCCACACCCTCCCCTCTCTACCTCACTGCCCACACCCTCCCCTCTCTACCTCACTGCCCACACCCTCCCCTCTCTACCTCACTGCCCACACCCTCCCCTCTCTACCTCACTGCCCACACCCTCCCCTCTCTACCTCACTCCCCCACACCTCCCCCCTCTACCTCACTGCCCACACCCTCCCCCCTCTACCTCACTGCCCACACCCTCCCTCTCTACCTCACTGCCCACACCCTCCCCTCTCTACCTCACTGCCCACACCCTCCCCTCTCTACCTCACTGCCCACACCCTCCCCTCTCTATCTCACTGCCCACACCCTCCCCTCTCTACCTCACTGCCCACACCCTCCCCTCTCTACCTCACTGCCCAACCCTCCCCTCTCAAACCTCACTGCCCACACCCTCCCCTCTCTACCTCACTGCCCACACCCTCCCTCTCTACCTCACTGCCCACACCCTCCCCTCTCTACTTCAATGCCCACACCCTCCCCTCTCTACCTCACTGCCCACACCCTCCCCTCTCTACCTCACTGCCCACACCCTCCCCTCTCTACCTCACTGCCCACACCCTCCCCTCTCTACTGCACGTATAAGTTCTGTCAAGCACCTTAACTACTGGGAACGCTTGGAAGCACTTGACTTGTACTCGTTGGAACGCAGGAGGGAGAGATATATCATAATCTACACTTGGAAAATCTTGGAAGGAATGGTCCCAAATCTGCACACAGAAATCACTCCCTACGAAAGTAAAAGACTGGGCAGGCGATGCAAAATGCCCCCAATAAAAAGTAGGGGCGCCATTGGTACACTAAGAGAAAACACCATAAGTGTCCGGGGCCCAAAACTGTTCAACAGCCTCCCATCAAGCATTAGGGGAATTGCCAATAAACCCCTGGCTGCCTTCAAGAGAGAGCTGGACAGATACCTAAAGTCAGTGCCGGATCAGCCGGGCTGTGGCTCGTACGTTGGACTGCGTGCGACCAGCAGTAACAGCTAGTTGATCAGGCCCTGATCCATCGGGAGGCCTGGTCGTGGACCGGGCCGCGGGGGCGTTGATCCCGAATGGCCTCCAGGTAACCTCCAGGTAACCTCACTGCCCACACCCTTCCCTCTCTACCTCACTGCCACACCCTCCCCTCTCTACCTCACTGCCCACACCCTCCCCTCTCTACCTCACTGCCCACACTCTTCCCTGTCTACCTCACTGCCCACACTCTTCCCCGTCTACCTCCTGCCCACATCCTCCCCTGTCTACCTCCACTGCCCCCATCCTCCCCCGTCTACCTCACTGCCCACACCCTCCCCTCTCTACCTCACTGCCAACACCCTCCCCTCTACCTCACTGCCCACACCCCCCCTGTCTATTTCGCTGCCCCACCCTCCTCTGTCTACCTCACTGCCCAACACCCCTCCCTGTCTACCTCACTGCCCCAACCCTCCCCTGTCTACCTCACTGCCCACACATACAAACAGATTAAAGCTCACTACGTTAACCTTTAAATCACAAGTACTGGAAGTAGTTTACTCGCCAAGTTATACACACTAAATCCCGCCAAGTTCTCCTTTAAAAAGAACATTTTTTAAAATCTTTTTCTCGAAATTCACCCTCACTAGACATTCCCAGAATTAAGACCATTACGAAATATATATCTGTATATGAAGTCTTACGACATAGTACCCAATCACCATTTACCAAGATGCTGGTCGTTCATCCACGTAACTACTAATTAAATAAATATATTTTAACAATATACTGTAATAAGCCTATTACAGTCGGCTATTTTACAAAGCTCCTCTATGTAGCGATTATTATAATCAGAAGCGCTAAACCTACGAGGGTTATACAGCGCCTCTATTTAGCGAGATTTTTTGGGGAATGTGACAAAAAATTATGTAAGAAATGGAAATACCTTCACAGGTGCTATTCAATTCCGGATAATTTTTTTTTAATCACATTGACATGAAGTCGCTATATAGAGATTTATAATAGAACTGGCTACTATCTGGTATTAATTATGCAAAATGTGATTTTTCTGAAAGACGGTAATTAATGGGTCTCTCACCTGTTTATGGTTCTCATTAGCGATGTTTACCCCATTGACCTCCACGATGCGGTCACCTTCTAAGAGTCCGGCTAATTCGGCCGGGGAGTCTGGGTCCACCTTCCCTATGTATTGGCCGGGTTTGGACTTTTCAGCGTGTAAGTTAAACCCATAACCCTCAAAATCTGGCCACTTGACGATGATGCAGAGGCGAGGAGCCGGCGCGTTGTCTGGGATGTCTGACATTATGACACCTGTCTGCTGCTAAACGTATGTATGTGGATGCGTTAGCGTTATATAACGAGGGACAAGAAGGTAGCCGATGTCTCAGAATACTGTTACTAACCCCCAGCACTCATAACACAGACTGACAAACTCTCACCATCATTCTCTCCTACTGATGTTCACTGCCGGACTCCAGCCACACAAAACCGTACCGCCTCTCCCAGTTGTCATATTTACTTAATCAAATTAATCACTGTGATGGCCACGTATTATAGTTAAAGAAAGTTAAATAAGCTACGAGAGTGTTAGCCGACCAGGAGTTTCGAAACACATAGGGACGGTTAATGAAAGTTAAAGGTTTGTACGTCTGGCCATTGTGAGGGTTGGGGGTTATAAGAGTCACGTGGTGTGACGTCACGGCGTACACAGACATGGTACAGGTGAGAGGCGAGGTGCTGGCACGTCCCCTCTTTAACCTTTCGTGCTCCTATATACTATATATTTACGTACATATATACGCGCAAGAATTCGCAAAAAAGCGCAATTGTTTACAATCATTACCTTTCAGTCCACAGATGATTCTATGTATTTTGAAGCAGAGTAGGTTCGAATTCTGCTGTGGGTTGATGTGGTCGAATCCTGGCCTGCCGCAGTTTGGTAAATGATTCAATACCACTTCTTTCCTGTTTCATATATTATAGATATATATATATATATATATATATATATATATATATATATATATATGCATGTATATATACGCTGAGTATATGAATTAATATTTTATAAGGTAGAATGTAGGGAGAAAAGGATATACGGTCTGTTTATTTTTTAATTCATTAATCCCTATTTTGTTAGATTCACATATTTACAATATGTAATTTATAAAAATATAATCACTAATAATTTCTCGGGCATTAATATTTGCGACTGATCGCTCTTGTTGTCCGTATTGTAGACTTGTGTGTGTTTGTGTACTTACCGATTTGTGTTTGCGGGGGGTCAGTCCACAGCTCCTGGTTCCGAACATCTTGTTTCATATTTTATAAAGACCAGATGTCGGTCACAAGAGTCGATGAGAAGTATTTGCCAGTCATCGCACAGAAAACAACGATACTCCTTTTTAATTACATTAGAAAATTATGAATTTGTACTTACGCAGCCTAGTGAGTTTTCCACAATGACAGATCCATTAGTATCTAAAATTTGAAATTACTGAAAAGAGGCATTCTCATGTTATTCTAAATATTAATTTCTTGCCCCCTATGTATCTCGTTGTTTAGTTTTAATGCACTTTGTTGCTCTTTTAGTTTTAATGCATTTTGTTGCCTACAGTCCTGCTGTAGTCCCAGACTTCATATTTTTTCAATTCATGTTTGGAATAATTTGTTTGCAGCTTCCTTGTAATATATATACATATATATATAATATATATTAAATATATATATAATATATTATATATATATATAATATATATAGTAATGTATATATATATATATATATATATTATAATATATATATATATATATAGATATATATATATATATAATATTATAATATATAATATATATATGTTCGTGCCGAATAGGCAGAATTTGCGATCTTGGCTTAAATAGCCACGCTCATCTTGCCATATAGGACAAGTGAAAATTTGTGTATGCAATAATTTCGCCAAAATCAATCTGAACCTAACGAAAAAAATATATTCACTGTGTTTTTGAGTATTAATTATTGTAACAAATCTAAAATATATTTAGTTGGTTAGGCTAATATAAATTGTTCTTGTTACAATAAGGTTAGGTAAGATTTCTAAGATTCTTTTAGTGCAAAATTAAAAATTTTTACATTAACATTAATGAAAAAAATATATCTTTAAATGTATAAGAGAAAATTTCAGAGAGGCTTAATTTTAAACAGTTCTTGCTAATACCATTTTTACATTTGCACGACACACACACACACACACACACACACATATATTTATAATATATATATTATATATATATATATAATATATATAATATATATATATATATATGTATAAAATTATATAATATATATAATATATATATATATATATATATATATATATATATATAATATATATATATATATATATATATATATATATATATATATATATATATATATATATATATATATATATATATATATATATATATATATATATATATATATATATATATATATATATATATATATCCAGTCTTTCATCATCTTTTCCAGGAAAATTCTCATCACCATCTTCATACTCTGTCTTCCTATTATGTTCACTTTACCATTTCCTTTCCACTGTCTTCTGATATTTATAACCTTGCAGTAATCGTTCTTCAGAGCGTCACTTGTCTCTCTATCTAAACAGTTTAAAGCGAAGACCAGATCTATTCTAGCATGTTCATCACCTCACATATTCATGTGTGGTCTCTTTGACCTGCTGGCTTATGAAATCTGTGGAATTTTTTTTACATAATTTCCTAAATGTAAAACATATGAATAAATAATATAACAATTGTGTAATAAAATATGATGCTGATTTGACCCTTCGAGAAATTTCGAGTGAAGGAGGGGAGGGGAGGAGAGGGGAGAGGAGTGGAGGGGAAGGGAGGGGGGATGGGGATGGGAGGGGAGATCTGTTGCTAAGTGACGCCGGGGGAGGGGGACGTCAATGTTGAATTTAACGGTGTAAGGATTGGTCGGAAATTTGCACCAGGAATTGGGCGTTTCCCAAGGCCTAATGGGATGTATCGGCCTCAATTCGTAATTTAGGAATTGTTGACACGTTCCTGCTGAAGAACTGGGACAGGAAATTACGAAACTACCATAATAACGTAGTGAGAATGGAAAATGGAGATGCGGCGTCGTCACACCTTGCTCAGAGAGTACACTAAGGTCCTTGCATTTAGATCTAAGCTGGCCAGTGTAGGTTCTAAATGTTAGGCAGGTGTTGTGATGTTCCATCACCATTAAGGTGTCTGCCAATAATTGAATGATAAGTGGTAATACAAAGGTCTTAAGTATAATAATTATATCGTTGTTGTTCTCAGCAATCTTAATCGTATACAGTCCACTCAGCTTCAATGAACCAGAGTAGCTGGCTTTAATATTGTAATTATTGATTTAATATCAGATCTAGCTTTTTTTGTGAGAGGTGTAGACGTGGGCAATCGAAAGAGGTGCAGTTCTGTGACCTACTGTGATTAAAGTCTCACTTACCTCAACCAAATTACTTGCAGGTAATAATTCAGGTAAAGTCCTGTAAACCTCCTGCAGATGATTTGTTGATAATATAATAATTTTTCACAAAGTCTTTCATTACTACCTTTATGAATTCTGCTCTCCGTATCTCTACCATTCCATCTCGCCTGGGTCCCAGGCGTTCTGTTCCATTTGACTGTGGCTGGAATCACACAATCAATAGTTTCGCTTTTGTCCTGTGTGTTCCTCTGGCTGACTGTTTCCAGGATGTGAACTGTTGCCGTGTGTACTTTCTGAGTTGTACTAACAGAGTTGTGTTTGCGAGGATCGAGTCTCAGCTCCTGGTCTCGCCTCTTAAACTACTATTGCAGGCATTATTGCCTCCTAGCTTCCTGGGCCTATCATATCTATTTTTGAAACTGTTAGGTAAGGTTTGTCAAGAAACAGGACAAGTATTTCCAGGCGCTGGTCTTAGTTATATGATGACCCGCAGCTGGAGTTTTTGGCCATCTGACCGAGGCCTTTCACTGACTTACTCGTCCACCCCTTTAAAAATTATGGTTAAAATTATAACCATTAAAAGAAGTTTTGAAACTGTATATTGAGTTTGCCTATATCACTTTGTCATCTAGTTCTTTCCATTATTTACTACCCTGAGAATGAAAAAGTATTTCCTAACATCACTGTGGCTCATCTGTGTCTTTAATTTTCATATATGACCTGTTGCCCCTATGCCTCATTCCAAAAAGTCCATTCCTATCTGCTCTGTCAAACTCTGAATATCTTGTATGAGTGTATGTACTCACCTGTTTGTGGTTGCAGGGGTCGATTCATAGCTCCTGGCCCCGCCTCTTCACTGATCGCTGCTACGTCCTCTTCCTACTCCATGAGCTTTTACAAACCTCGTCTTAAAACTGTGTATGGTTCCTGCCTCCACTACGTCACTTGCTAGACTATTCCACTTCCTGACAACTCTGTGACTAAAGAAATATTTCCTAACATCTGAGTCTTCAACTTCCAATTGTGACCTCTTGTTGCTGTGTCCCATCTCTGGAACATCCTATCTCTGTCCACCTTGTCAATTCCTCGCAGTATTTTGTATGTCGCTATCATATCTTCCCTAATCCTCCTGTCCTCCAGTGTCGCCAGGCCGATTTCCCTTAACCTTTCTTCGTAGGACATTCCCTTTAGCTCTGGAACTAGTCTTGTCGAAAACCCTTTGAACTTTCTCTTAATTTCTTGTCGTGCTTGACCAGGTGTAGGTTACAAACTGGTGCTGCATACTCCAGTATGGGCCTGACGTACACGGTGTATAGAATCTTGAACGATTCCTTACTGAGGTATCGGAACGCTGTTCTCAGGTTTGCCAGGCACCCATATGCTGCAGCAGTTATCTGGTTGATGTGCGCCTCAGATGTGCTCGGTATTATACTCACCCTAAGAGACCTTTCCTTGAGTGAGGGTTGCGGTCTGTGTGTGTGGGGTCGAGTCACAGCTCCTGGCCCCACCTCTTTACTGTGTGTGCGTGTGTGTGTGTGTATTCACACAATAATATATCTTTATTTACTACAAGTACATGTAGCATTTCGGGCAAATTAAGTCAGTTTTTGTCCCAGGATGCGACCCACACCAGTCGACTAACACCCAGATGCCCATTTTACTGATGGTTGAACATAGACAACCGGTGTAAGGAAACACGTCCAATGTTTCCACCCTTTCGCCGGGAATCGAACCCGGACCTCGCAGTGTAAAGAGAGAGCTTTTACCACCAGGCCAGTTAAGATAAGTGACGTCATCTGACTTCTTATGGGTTGTCCTAGGTAATTTACACATGTTAAACTATGTATGATAATTGTTCTGATGTGTACGTGTACCTAAATAAACTTACTCTCTCTCTTACTCACTAAACCTCCTTACAATTATGGTTCACTGTCAAATATAATA